TCAGGTTGGCATCTGGCATTTCAATCCCAGTGCATGCTGGGATGTTGGCACGGATACTAACACCCAGCACCTCCCCAGACTGGTCAAAGTTGACTGTGATTTCGTCCTCAAGCCCAGACTCTAATATTGTGCACTTCAAAGAGAAATAATAAGTTCAATTTTTATGTGGAAGCTAAACACTTACGAGAACATTTTCAGTTGCTGTATATGATGTGTAAAAATAATGGAGCTTTAAGAGAAAGAAATATTATCTCAATGGAATAAAGTACCAAAAAAAAAAAAGAAAGAGCTGGACTAAGATAAAGTTAAAACACTGAAACTGGAATAAATTTTTATTAACTTCATACAAAATTTAGTTATTTAAAAAAAATTTATTTAAAAGTCACCTAAGTGCACTCACTGAAATGACTAGTGAGATTTCATTAACAGTGTTATATTATAAAACTAAAGCTATGACGGAAAGAATCCAAACAGGAGATAATTGGATTTGGAACATAGATTCCCAAGGGTTATCCCTCACATCAAAATGGAACAATATTTCTGTTGTTATTCACAGCTTTTACTTTTTCCCTATAATTTTATGGCAATATATTCTCCTATTTATCTATAATATTTATAAATATTATCTGCTGGTAATAACAATATTTTAAAATTTATTTTCTTGTTTAATATTAATTTCATTTCTGCTAAAGATGCAGAAGCATTTCTGAATCAGTCAAAAACTTAATCCATGCTACATCAGATACATCATTTCATTGTTTGCATCTTTAGTTCAAGGAAAGCTTCACTTTTCTTTACTTCTTGTGTCTTGCAAAAGATACTGACATTTAATAGTGGTCACTTATGTAACTGGAGTTAACTTATTTATTAAGTTATCTATAATACCACAGGATCATTTTGAATAGAAGGACAATGCTAAGTATGTGAATAATTAACACATTAGAATTCGTCTAAAATTTCAAACAGTTTTGTCCATCGGTTTGTCTGGAACATTTTAGAAATGCACACTACGATATGCATTGTTTCTAACTCTTTTCTATTTTTTAATCCACAGATAAATACTTTATTCTTATTTTTTAATTGTATTTTTAGTATTTCTTAACTTATGCACCAATTGTTAAAGAAATGAAGGGTTCAATTTCAATGTAAATCACAAAAATATAAAAGAAAGTTTTCAAAAATGTTTATTTATCTCTTTTGTAATTAGCAAGCATACTGGTTTAACTCCTTCACATTACTTTTCTAGCTAACTATTTTTAAAAAAATGAAAACTCACTGCTTTAGTTGCAGATGAAACAAATGCTATAGGTGTGTCACCTGAAGTCTTGGTTGGAATTCGAATTCTGTACAAACCATTTGACTTAGATGATTGCTGGAGCAAGAGGAAAATAAATGAATTGTATCAATATAAATTACAATTTTTTTAAACATGTTTTGTCTTAGAATTTTTTTTTTTCTTAAATAACATTCTAGTAACCAACCACAGTTAGCTTACTTATAAGTAACTGACATCTAAAATTCAAATGCTCAAAAAAACTAGATCGAATTTAAATGGATAAAATAGCATATTTTTCAATGCATTTTATTATAACTGGTCAATATTCTGTCCTATTGTGCTAAGACTTAAGTGAATTTAATTGGTGTACCATTCAGTCACCTTTCTTCACCATGTGATTTCATTTGTAATTGTAATTATCAATAAAATTTATTTACTGGTGACTCGATACAGCATGCTACAAAAGAGCCTGGACACTGTATTCAAAAGGCTAATGTCATTCTGAAAGAGAAAAGGCTGCTCCTACCTTTTAAAACCAAATATCAATCTTAGAGAGCTGCAACAACTATAAAAATGCTAATACCATTTTGAGAGAGAATTACACCCACCTTCAGTAGCCTGATGTCATTCTGAGAGAGAGCAGCACCGGGTGTAAATTGAGCTTTGTTTCCTTTCAAGGACTGAATCATTAGAGTTCCACGCTTTGTAAATTCAGATGAACCTAAATGTTTAAGAAATTTAAAATTTAAGAAAGGAAAATAAAATTGGAATTTCATGGCAGTTTAATATCTAAAAAGAACATTAAACATGAGTTATCTAATTGAATAGCATTACCATTTACAAATAAAAACTTACCAGTCTTAATCTTTCCCCCCTCAAACTTACCTAAAGAAAATGAATGCTCCAAAACAAGTGTCCTAGAGCCTTCAAATTCATCCTCATTCTGAAAGTTGAAACCTAGTCTTTTAAATTTATTCTTAAAATAGGAATAACATGGCTACAAATTTGTGTTAGATAAGGAAATAAACACAGTGAAAGGAGACCTGGAAAAAAGACAAGACACAAAAAATATACACAAAAAAAAGGATAAAAATAAAAATGAAAGTAAGAAGAACTCTGCCAAAGAAACAGAGAAGTGAATGTGATATTATGTAAGTGAAAAAAAGCATGCTAATGTTAAAAAACATACATTTTCTTTTATAAAACCACATTCTTCATGTCATTTCTTGTTGACAGACCGTTTTTTAGTCAACTGTCAATTGTCATCTTCTTCTTGATCTAAGAAACATTTCATACTTTAAGAGTTAATTTTAAAAAGAAATAGTTTTTTTTCCTCATTGGTTTTTAGCTGAAGGAGAGGTTTAGCTGACATGTTGTGTCGTCCAACTGTTTTCATGTAATGTGCACTGTTTTCTTATTTTAAATACTGATTACAGTCTCAAAAATATTATTCTCTGAGAGTGAGGGTGAGGCTAGGGTTAGTTTTTAATAACAAGAAGGCCTATTTTTTAATAGCTCTTTTATTCAGTTAGCTTAATTATTCATTTATTGATTTGGGGTGTTCGCTGTAGGCCTATGTGTCTGGTCAGTCTAAGATTTAAATAATTGAAATGGACAAGCTCTTTGTCCATGACGCTCATTGATATTTTTCTGTATGTTTGATTGGTATATTGTGTCTCTATTAATAAATTTATGAATAATAATATTAATATGGGCCCATGTGAGGACATTTTCATTACATTAATTAAGCCCTTAAGTCTAACAATTTCAATATTCATTGACTGATTAATAAATAATTTAACTTAAGCTACTCATAAAATAAATAAATCATTTATTTAGCCTAAATTTTAGAACTTTGTATTTTTTTCGAAGTGACTAGGTTAGGTGGGGTGAGTTGAGCCCTTGGAATAATTGCTGCTTCCCAGGGCTCAATTAGTTATTGTGGTGATGCACATGTGCAATACAATCGAAACTTGATGTTCTGCCCTCTTGACAAAAACATGTCAGTGTCACTAGCAATATTTCAAAATAATAATTTTTTTCTCTTCATTTTTATGCTTTCCAGTTGTTGCAACAGTGTGTAACTAGCCAAAATGGAGAGATGAGCTTTAGGGATAGTCAAGAGAAGGGAGTGACTGCAGGTCATTGGCACTTCTTGCCTTATATCTAGAATTATACAATAAAGTTTTAGCGTTCATCATGAAATTTATATACGAGGAAGGAAGCATTGCGCTCTACCAACAGTGAATTATGCTTAGTGTGCTTTGCACCCTACCCATAACGAAATATGCTTAGGGTGCATCTCGTCCTACCCATCACCAACCATTTTTTTGGTAATATTAAATAATTAAATTAATAAATTGAAGCAGTCTACTAAATGTACCGCTAGCAGCATCAGCTAATCAAAATCGTGTTTTTTGGGTTTGAATTGCCATTTACAGGTTATTCTTTTTTTTTTTATTGATTTAAGAAAATGGAAATGTTTTTTAAATGACATTGTACACATTAATTTCAGCACATATAAACATAAAAAAAAAAATGCTTTTATAATAGAAAAATTTAAACTAATGTATGAAAATAATATATGCGTGTTTGATTTTATGCATAGTTTCCCACCAGTGTAACAATGAAGGGAATTATAAGTGATAAGAGCGTGGCTGGTGCCAAACTATCTTTTCAGCTTGTGTGCTTTATATTTTCTACATTCTGTGTGTGGACACCAGTGACAGTGTCATTTGGATCAATGAAATTTTTTGATGGGTCACAACAGAATGTGCGTAAATTTCCAATGCCAGAGAAAACCCAGTGGGGGAGGGGTGAAAAAAGTGAAAAAAATGCATTTAAGTAATGCACTTTATAAGAATCCAAATTAGTGCAACTGCGTACATCTTTTTCTCGCCACTGAACTATATTAATATTCTAATGACCCACCTGCGTTTACAACGCAGATTTATTAAACCAACTATTTCAGTTTCAGAAAAACAAAAGAAAATATTTATCACGCACCAAACGCACTTGCAATATTTTTTTAAAAAAGAATCTCATTTAGCGCAATTATTTGGATTTTCATTTCGTGAAAACAGTGGCATCATATTTCCTCCATTTTGCTCTTGAAAAATTTGAAAAACTAATACTTGGGGGTTGGGGCTGAAATTTGATAGAATGTGTTAGCATCTGCAATCAACAAGTCTATACTAATATACTATTATACTATGACTATGTGCCAAGTTTCAGCTCAATAAGTTGACAGTAAGTGGGTCAATTAGCAGGCCGAAGATTTTGTTACACACCTAAACATAAAGAAACACACAAACAAAGGCGAAGGTAATAATAAAGGATTTTTAAAAAGTGAGTAGCACATGAGAATCATTCATATATTATTATATTTAACAAGTCAAACTCAAACTGTCATTGAAACATCAAAAGTAGTGCACGTATTTATGATTATTTTAAATCATACATCTTGGTTTATAATTAAAATATATCAAGGTCATAAATCAGTAAGGGCCTTGCAATAGAATCACAATTGGTTTACCATAACCCCCGCTATGAGGCCGACGTAAACAGACAGCAAACAGCTGAGCCCTAAAAGCCGTCTTATGGAGGTCGCCATCTTGTTTCCGAATATTGTGGGTAAGTGTACATGACCAATGAAAAATATTGTTTGGTTAGAAGTTCATGTATGACCAATGAAATTTAAGCTTTTTTCCTCGCAACGAAAATTTGTTTGTTCATGGCGGACATGTGAGAAGTGTTGACATAAATTCGCATGTTGTAAACAAGGACTGTCAAATCAAGCTCTGTTGCTACACAATCAAGATGGAAATCGACATTCAAGATGAAATTAACAGAGACGGCATAGTTTTCTACTCTGTTTTATATTCAACCGTCACCGTTGCTTTTGCAATGGCAGTTCTTTCGAAATTCTTGACGAACGAATTTAGATTTGGATTTCGTTCGTTTCTAACCCTTGTAATTTTATTTTTAGGCGAGCCACTTTGTCAATTTTTAGTGAAAGGCCCGAGTGGTTTAGCCATTTTCACCGTTGGGTGTTTATTTATTTACTCCATATTACCTGCAAATCATCTGCGGGCGGAGAAGAAAGCTGTTCTCATAACTGGTAATTATTATTTAAAATTTGCAAAATTAGAAAAGCCCCCCCAATCAACACACATTTTTTTTTTAAAGGTTACATGCAGGCCCAGGTACCATACAGTTACAGAAAAATTAATAACAATAAATTGGAGTAGCGGGGAAAGTTTTCAATTGGCTTTTTCAAAATAAAATAAGCCATGTCATAGAGATATACTTTCTATATTTAAAAATATACAGTTAGAGTATAACTTATACAGTACAGTATACCTCAAAATTTGATTCAGATGAAAATGAAAGATCAACATCTGCTCTTTTTGGTGGTATTGAAATTGTGGTGGTAAAACTTAAAATAAGTTTACGCTCTTGAAATCGTTCTCTTATTCTTTAAAAAAAATATTGAGCACCCGTTGAGTACCACTTCTCACTCTATAATTATAATAATATTTTACTTTACCAACTTAACAAAATATAGCAACATATCCTCAATCCTGTCTGTGTATAATAAATAAGAAAGATTATATAATTGCCAAGGTTTAATGATTGGTCAATGTGAATTTATTTTTTTATTGTTCTTTTTTATACTAGCATTTCATTCTCAAGTCTTAAAAGTTAAAGATTCATCTAAAACATTATCACTATCACATTTTAAATTTAAGTTAAAAAATATATTTTGACTTATTAGCCAGATGACATTGTTGTGATTATGTGCATACTGGGAGAAAAGCTTTTAAAAAGGATTCTTCTTTGAAAAAAATAATTTCATGGTAATGTTAGCCATTTATTCAGACATTTTTGTTTTTAAACATTGCATTTTTACAATATTTTCCTTATCCAAACAAAAATTTTTTAAAAGGATTTCTTGAGATTTTGAAGCATATTAATGTTTATAAAGATTAAATCAATTTTTTGGGATTTAAATTAAATTTTTAAAATTTAAATCCAATTTGTTCCTTGAACTTAATTTTTTTCTTCTTCTTTTAAAGGACCGCTGTAGATTTTTTAAGTACCGTATATTGATAGTTATAAAGATTGAACATGATTTAGTTAATGGTATTTAAATTAATTTTTAAAATAAAATTGGATTTTGTATTTAAATGGGATTTTAAAAAGTTAAAGATAAAACCTAATTTTTTTTTTTAAAAAGGGAATTTCTTTAGATTTGAAGTATAGGCTATTAATTTTTATTATTCGTACACATTATGTAGTTAATACTATTTAAATCAATTTTGTTGGATTAAAAGTGGATTTTAACATACCGATTTAAATTTAAGTAAATTATCAGAAAAATAAATAAAATATTTACCGCAAGTCCTTCTGAATGGATTTTATTCATGTTTCCAAACTAAAATTTGTCTTTATATTAAAATGATTATGAAATGTAAAATAATTAACTAAAAAACGTTTTAAAAACTTATAATCAATACTCTTAATATTATAGTCTATCTAAGCTACATAAATAAGTATTTCAATTCAGTTTCACACTTTCAATTGCTCAATTTTAACAAATTGTCATTCATCAAAGTCATTCAATTCCAGCAAAACTTTGAACAGAAAAATCATAATTATACATTAATAAATAATATATTTTGTTACTATTAAATACATTTTAAATAATACATTACAACTACCAGAAGTTTTAGTTTAACATGTGCCTTTTAAATATAAATAGATTAGATAAATATAATTCAAATAAATTTTTAAATTTAAATCATGATTTTTATTTATCAGATTTTAATCATGATAAATCATCTCAATCCTACTGACTAGTGTTTTTTTTTAAAATCAGCATTGTTGATTTACCAGTTGTAAAAATCTATAACGTCCCGTGGCTATTCCTTTGCATTCTACTCCAATTTACTGTAAACTTTAACTGCTTTTTAAAAGCAGCATCACAGTGCTTCAGTCAATAATTCAGTTTAAATAAGCCATAAAATGTACATCTTTCACTTTCAGGTTGTGATAGTGGTTTTGGTCATGCTTTGGCACTAAAGTTGGATAGCATAGGTATGCTGGTGTTTGCTGGTTGCTTGGAAGATCAAGGCCCTGGAGCGATTGAGCTGAGAAACAAGTGTTCTAACAGGTTTCCTTTTTTCTGGACTTAACTCATATGAGACTGTGTAAACCTTTGCATTGTATTTTTACCATTTTCAGTAAATGATACTCAATGATAGTGAAAGGAAAATATAGTAAAGGACATACTGTTACATTGACCCATACTTTTAAGCTGCCTTGCTTATCTGTGGACTATTGAGGCTTATTTTTTGCTGACATTTCAGGCTTCACATTCTGAAACTTGATGTCACAAATTCTAAAGACATTGAGGCAGCTTCATGTTACATCAAAACAAAATTGGGAGAGGAAGGTTTGTATCCATGGCTAATTATGCAGCTATCTCAGATGGTTCTTTTAAGCTGGCTTTGTTTGATAAGATAATGTTACTAAATTTGAATGAAAAAAATATAAAATTTCTTCTTTTATGGGTCGTACCACAATAATTAATAAAGTAAATTATAGTTTTTGAATTATTTAGTATTGTAAGAGTGGTATTGAAATCCCAATTTTCTTGAATAGTTTATTTGCTTCAATCTTGTTGTAAATAGCTTTTCCATTACTCCCATACTCATTCAATTTATTGCCCCAACTCAGTTTTTTGTTCTCTTAAAAAGTCCTGTAGCTAAATTTAAAATCTAACAAACTCTGTTAAATAGTTTAAAAAATAAATAAAAATTTAACCTAGAACTTTGCATTTTCATATTAAAAACCACCTTTTGATTTCACTATATAAGTTATGTGTATTTTGGCCCTTTTTATTTTCGTATATTGCCCTAACTGTTCTTTTATCGCCTTTCAGTAGAGTAGTTGCTAAATATTTAATTAGGATCTGTAAATCATGCATTTAAAATTAATTATTTTAGGCCTGTGGGGTTTGGTAAACAATGCTGGTGTCTGGTGTTTTGCTGAGCTAGAAATGACATGTGACAAAATGGTGCAAAAAATAATGGACGTGAACCTATTTGGAGCAATTAGAGTCACCAAGGCCTTCCTACCTCTGATAAAACAAGCCCATGGGAGGGTGATAAATGTTTCAAGTCTTCTGGGTAAGAGCTAGTAAATGAATCTGCCAGATTTCCTTGTTAGCAAATTACATTTTGCGCTTAAAATAGAAACCAATTAACTTATTTAAAATTAGACCTCGAGCTTAATCTCTTTTGAACATAGTTAAAATTCTTGCAGATGGTTGTTGTGGTTTTTAAAAATATTTAAAAATTAAAAGAAACAAATGATTTATTCAAATTTTAATTATTAATCAAGGCTATTTTCATGAATATTATTTAAATGTTCAGTTTTCTTCTGCTCGTTTTTCACTGTAACATTCTGCAAAAAAAATATGTCTTTACTAAAATACACACAATTATTTGTGTCAAAAATTCCTAATCTTTAACAGTGGCTGATGTTGCATCTCTCTTTTTAAAGGTAGAGTATCTATTGAAGGCAATGGTGCTTACAGTATGTCCAAGCATGCCCTAGTGGCCTATACAAACACTCTGAGGCTAGAGATGAAAAAATGGGGTGTGGACGTCTCAGTTGTTGAGCCAACTGGTTATTACACAGGTAAGCGTGAGTTTTGTAGCTAAGTTTAAATTACCTGGGCTGAGCTTTGTAGATCGATTTTAATCATTGATCACTTTAAAAATAAAGTACTTTAAAAAATCAAGTTTATTTGTATAGATCTGTATGGTATATTAAAAAAAACAAATGTTTTTAAAGGATCCTGATATTAAGTTATAAGGAGTAAATATTTTGTAAACATTGCCTGGGTCAAACCAAGTTTTTTGTAGATGCTGTTGATTTTATACTAAATATGTCTGAAGTCATAGTCATTGGACAATTTTTAATTTTTTTGTGTACTTAAAAACCAACAGGTAACATGCAGGAATATACCCTAAGGAAAAAAAAGGAAGAAGTATGGGATTCATTAGATGAGCAGACAAAACAGGTCAGTAGACTCATTGTACCTGTCATGTTTACATTCTCTTATAGCCGAAACTTGTGTCCACAACTAATTTATTTATTTTTTTTTTTTAAATCTATCTCATTACTGTAACCACCACTTCTACATTGAGATTTGAAGTTGTAATTAATGTTGAGGACTATCATTTGTCTAATTTGAACTTCATTTTATGACAACCTCTCTTTATCTTAATTGTTATGAATCACTGAACAGAGATTTAGCATTGGCTTGTTCTAGAATGGTCTAAAAAAATTTTCATTAAAAATCATATGGGGAAAAAAACAAGTTTCCAGATTAATTTTTTTCTCTTACATTATAACATTATTGGCGTTATTTTATTTATAACAAGAGATTTCAGTTTCATATTTGTTGCCCATTCTAAATTTTGTAATGTTTGATTCAGACTTTCTATGCATTATTCCAAACTAGGTGTATGGCAAAGAGTATCTGGATGCCATATATGCCCACATAGAGGCTGCTGTCCAAAAGTATCCTAAAGATCTCACCCCTGTCATTAGGTGCATTCGCAGTGGCCTGCTGTCCAAAAGACCCAGAGAACGTTATCCCTGTGGTACAGGGGCAGAGTTAATTATTTGCCTTTATCCCATATTGCCAGTTTGGCTTGCAGATTATGTTTCAAACTGCATCAGCATGGTGCCCAGGCAGTTGCGTCCAAGTTCTTGTCCAGAAGTTAAATAAATCCAACAAATGCTTGTGTGCTTGAGGAAATCTACTACAACAATTTCAAATTAAATTTTAAAAAAAAATTGATTTGGTCATTAAAGAGAATAGAATGCAACCCCATATAGGCAGATAAAATTTTATATTTAACAACCCAACTCTATGCTTGCTAACCAATAAGCTACAAGGGTAAAATTGTTGTATAGATTGTTTCGGATATAAAGTGAATTAGGTTGATATTTTCAAACACACATGATTATTTAATTTTTTTAAAAATTGTGTTGCATTGTTACATATCTCGTTCCCACTATTTATTTATTGTTACATGACCATTAATTATTTTTTTCCTTAAAGACTCAAAGCTTTGAATAGAGATTGTTTGATGCATAATATATATATTTTTTCTAATTGATTGTATCAAAATGCTAAGGAGTTTCTCTAAGTGTCCTTTTACCTTCAGGCAAACTTTGTACAAGCCAGCACCTGTGCAGGTCCCTGTGTCTCGGTCCGGTAGCTCTTTAAAGTTCAATTTTCTTTATTTGTATTTTTGTTTCGTTTCATCTCAAACTCTTTTGAAGAAGCACTGGCAAATATTTGGTGCTGTACTTTTGACTTGATATTTTAAGTTTTAAGTACTGCAAGGCGCTGTCTCTTCAGGGGATTATGATCAGCATTTTTTGCCTCTGGTAAATGAAACCCGATCTGTAACATGGCATATTAAGAGTTATTTCCCTTTATTTAAATGAATGAATGTCACAGGTTGTTGATTTGTAACTTTGAATGTGAGTTATCTTTAGCTGATCCACAAACTCTTCTTTTATTTGCTTGTCAGTATTGCTTGTTGCTTGAATCTTTAATTGTTCTTTAAGGGGGTTGGAAACAATCTAAAGGTGTAATTTTGCATTAGCATTAATTTTTATCTCATTATCTTAAACACCTTCCAACTGTATACTGATGATTGCATTCAGTCAGTGACCTACAAATCTGAACTTATGAAGATCAATGGGCCTAGAGTGGTTTCATGATCAAATCCCAATTGTTTAACTTTTGCTAAGCCAGGAACACTCTTGTTGAGTTTTCATTTTACTTGAAGATTTTCTGTATCTTGTTATCATGAGATAGAATGCCAGTCTTGGAGAGAATGCCAGGCTTAGAGATAATGCCAGTATTAGAGATGATGCCAGTCTTAGAGATGATGCCAGTCTTAGAGACAATGTCAGTCTTGTTAATAAGGTTGATGATATACAATTGGTATCAAGGACAGTGTTCCATCATTAGGTGAAAGCATTTGAATGGTTGTCACTTGAATTCAAAAATGTTTTTTATCCCAAGCATTATATTTGGGAGTAATCTTAGTTCTGTTCAATGTGAACTAGCATTAGAGTTAGCTTGGAATTACTATACTGTTGGAGGGGATGTCTTGAAAAGATATTTATAGGCATTAAATTCAGTGCTTTCTGTCAGACTAGAAAATAAGAGGGACAAAAAAAAATGTTTAGTCTGGCAGTAGTTTAGAAAATTTTACTGATGAAGTAAGGTGCATGAGTCTTTATATAAATTGTATTGGTGTTTTTGGACACTATTCTTTTAATAACTATAGGAAATTCAAGAATCCTGACAAGTTTTCTGTGAACATTTTATTCAATGCTTATGTGACTCATACTTGCTTATGCTCATACTCCTATAAATTATGGACCAAATGTGTTCATTGTGTAATACCATCCAGTGGTATGTTTTGTGTGGTGGAGAGTTTGGAAAAATGTTGGCCGGCCTTGGTCCCATCCCCTTTTGTAATCTGCTGGTCTGAAAATGTGTCATTGCTTATTGATTAATTTTATCTAGTAAGGAGCAAATAAACATAGGGCTTAGTGAAATCCCTTTGGCAAAATATGTGGTAGAAAATTAAGAGTAAGGAAATCAACTTATGGTGAACCCGTCGAGTTAGAGCTTTCTACAATAGTGGATGGTGTCTGCGTAGCCCAAGAAATTAGTTTTTGCGGCTTACCTCCCTTAACTAAAGTATCTGCAATTTTAAAAAATTACCTTGTTTCAATTTTTAAAAATAATTTATCCTTTTTTTTTGCATTGCTATTAGCGATACTGGGGGAAAAAAATAAGGGGGGGGGGCTTGCATATGGCGCTCCATTAATCCAATAATGCTTAGTAGAGCAGCCACAAGTCAGCACACAGCATGGTGGGTAACTAATGTGCTCTTTTGCTGCGAATGTGATCAAACTCGCAATGTCTATAGATTATGCACCTCTTTCCTTATTTTACATGCGCATCGTGGTTGCGTTGCCCCTGCTAGTCTATTATGTAACATTTAGATATACTAATACAGGCTGATTGTTATTTGGTTTAGCTGAGAGAACAAACATATGCTAATATTTGACTGTTGCTGTCTGTTATAGAGCTAAAGTATGTTATATTATTATGTTTGATAACTGACATTCCTGTAATCACAACAGGGTTTAGAGACCTGACCTACTGACCCTAGTTGTTGCGCATATTATCTTTTATTTGATACCAGATGAGCAGAAATCTATTGTATCTTGCAGTTGATCCCTTAGTATGGAAACAGATGTTATATTAACAGATTTCAGAAAAGGGAAACGGTTCAACTATTTATATTGAACAGTGATACTGAATGCATTTAATGTCAACACACATTTGTGATCAGCCTTGCAATGAATTACTTTAGAAGCTGACGAAACCTTTCACCATTTTCTTTTGTCCCTTGATTCAGCCTGCTCGGATAATTGAGTATGGCACATTCTCAGAACAACTTATTAATACTATTATTTAAAATAAAATCATTCATCCCATCCTTGTTCACAAAAAAATTTAAAGAATTATGATTCTGTTGGTATTTTTTAATTACTTAATTAGAGCAACATATCTCCACAATTTTGGATTGATTTTTCCAGTACAGTAGATATTGACATTTTCTATAGATTTGCTACATTATTTTAAACTTTATATAAACATTTATTTGGTTGCTTGATTTTTTTTGTTTGTATTGAGATTGTTTTTTATGATTTCCCTTGCCTCTTTGCTGCATCAGTTAATTTCTATACATCGGATTATTTTTACCATCTGGTTTATTTCTACCAATAAGTTTATTTCTACCTGTCCCTTTATTTCTATCTGTCCGTTTATTTCTACCTGTCAGTTTATTTATTCTCATCAGTTAATTTCTAATGATCATTTCATTTCAAACCATCAGTTTATTTTGACCTGTCCGTTTATTTCTACTCATCAGTTTATTACCTGTCTATTCATTTCTAACCATCAGGTTTATTTCTGTCTGTTCACTTCTAACCATCAGGTTTATTTCTGTCTGTTCATTTCTAACCATCAGGTTTATTTCTGTCTGTTCACTTCTAACCATCAGGTTTATTTCTGTCTGTTCACTTCTAACCATCAGGTTTATTTCTGACTGTTCACTTCTAACCATCAGGTTTATTTCTGTCTGTTCATTTCTAACCATCAGGTTTATTTCTGTCTGTTCATTTCTAACCATCAGGTTTATTTCTGACTGTTCACTTCTAACCATCAGGTTTATTTCTGACTGTTCACTTCTAACCATCAGGTTTATTTCTGTCTGTTCACTTCTAACCATCAGGTTTATTTCTGACTGTTCACTTCTAACCATCAGGTTTATTTCTGTCTGTTCATTTCTAACCATCAGGTTTATTTCTGTCTGTTCATTTCTAACCATCAGGTTTATTTCTGACTGTTCACTTCTAACCATCAGGTTTATTTCTGACTGTTCACTTCTAACCATCAGGTTTATTTCTGTCTGTTCATTTCTAACCATCAGGTTTATTTCTGTCTGTTCACTTCTAACCATCAGGTTTATTTCTGACTGTTCACTTCTAACCATCAGGTTTATTTCTGTCTGTTCATTTCTAACCATCAGGTTTATTTCTGTCTGTTCTTTTCTAACCATCAGGTTTATTTCTGTCTGTTCACTTCTAACCATCAGGTTTATTTCTGTCTGTTCATTTCTAACCATCAGGTTTATTTCTGTCTGTTCACTTCTAACCATCAGGTTTATTTCTGTCTGTTCATTTCTAACCATCAGGTTTATTTCTGTCTGTTCATTTCTAACCATCAGGTTTATTTCTGTCTGTTCACTTCTAACCATCAGGTTTATTTCTGTCTGTTCACTTCTAACCATCAGGTTTATTTCTGTCTGTTCACTTTTAACCATCAGGTTTATTACTAACCGCCAGTTTTTTTCTTCCCATCAATTCTAATGATCATTTCATTCCTAGCCATCATTTTATTTCTACTGGTACATGTCAAAACAGCTGACATTGCTAAGATGACTAGATTATAGTACATTGTCATAATCTTATTGTCTCTGGTGGCTATTTAAATGATGTTGCTGGGTATAGAGGGAACAATGACCCATATATTCTTTTGTTGGGCTTGTATCTTGTCATCAGATATTAATTAGCATAAATATATTTATGTATATATGTACCATTAGGTGCATTAATTGAGAACAATTTGAAGTTATTGCTGAAGGAGAAATGGTACATTTTTTAACCATTGGCAATTTATTTATTTTCTTTAAAAATTTGTGTCTTTGCTTTAACATGGAAGCTAATTTAAGTAAGGTTTTGATCAACATATCAAGTAATTTATCAGTTAGGGTCTTTTGGTGCAATATTATTGGTCATTACCCAATTAACTGTACCGGGGGTAGTGTTAAAATAACTGTATTTGATGTAGTTTGCAGAAGCAAATGTTTAAACCATTCCACATGGTCATTGGTTTCCTTTTCAGAGTAAAGATATGACATAGCAGACATTTTCATCACTGATATAATGTACTTTCAGTCTAAAATTTTTATTTTGAAATGCTTATCTGTCTAAGAATTTTCTTTATGGGTTTCTATTTGGCCTATTGAAATTTCGTTTTTTTTTGTTAACTCCTTTGTTAAATGTGTTTCTAAGTATTTTCTTATTTTTCATGTCTAGACTTAAGTTTCTCTATTTCACATTTCTAAAATTGTAAATATTTTTGTTCATTTCAGTTTTTCGAGTCATTCATTGTTTCAAAAGGAATGATATTATATGGGCATTATTTTTGTAAAAATGCAATAGCAATGCTCTTGTAATGATTTCGCTTTAGATGGGCACATACTATTACTATGTCAACATGACACAATTTTGATGGGCAAATTATGTTTATGAGTTTGCATCTTTTTCTGTGTTTAGTTATAAATAATTGTAAATTTTGAGTCTAAATTTGAAGTAATGCTCAGCAGTCTTGCACTAAACAGAATTTGTAGGACAGAGCCAAGTTAACAAGTGTAAAAATAACACTGTCCTTTGAGACTTTACAAGCCCAGATTTATCTAGTTAATAACAATTGGATCTTTCAGACAATAACACTGTTTTAAGTCTTCCAAACAAACATTTAGATTAGAGAGTTTATTTTTGGATGAATTTAAAGGATTAAAGTTTGTTTTTTCTTCAATATTTTTGTTGTTGATGGAACTAGTTGCAAAATATTAAAGTGTAAAAATTCCCACCAAAATTGTAAGTGTGAACAAATTGTGTGCTAAATTTGAGGTTTAATTACACCTTGATGCCTGGTCATTTTCTGTGTTTTAAATTTCAATAAGATTGACAGCTTGTCTAAATTGTAACAAGACATCCATCTTAATGCTAATGGACCTAAAATTAAAAGGGGCACAAAAAGATATTTAATTAAGGATAAACTCTATAGAGGAAATAATCTTGTAATTAGATTGTTATATTTATAGTGACATAGCTATTGTGATTTATAGACTTATCAATGTGACAGCTGTTATGGAAACTTTCACTGTTAACTTTTGTCTCTGTCACCATTGGATCTGTTTATTTTGGCAATTATCTTGTTATAGGTGAAACGGTCAGCTGCGGATCAATTTTTCAATTATATTATTCATGTTTGTATTTTCCAATTTCTGACTCCATCAGTATATTGACAAGATGTTGATTTGAATGTAAGCTTACCGCCTCCAACATGAAGTCTTAATATTATTGTTTTGATTATATGGAAGCTTGCTATAACAATTACTCTATGCTTTTCTGCTCCCATACACTGGATTGCCTCATATATTTATTTGTAAAGATGTCTTGTCAGTCAATAAAAATGTGCAATTTTTAACGAAACTCATTTTGTCTCACATAATTAAAAATTATAAATACTAAAATATATTATTATGGCCCTTTACTGAGTGTTAGTATCTTCAATGTTTCTGAAGTACCGGTAATGAACTCAAATTGGTGAGCTGAAATTACCATATTTTTAAAAAAAAATGAATTCTGAGTGGTACCAAGAAAAGTTTACCTGTATATAGATATATATATATATATTGAAATCATTTCAGATAATTATATTTTTTATTTGACTTGCAAGTTACCAATACCAGTGACAAGTTCGATGGAGTTGTTGGACTCTCCAGTAATTTTTTAGTCATTTTGCGAGGAATTTCCAGATATAAAAACTTCAGTTATAAATATTTAATAAACATAACAATTTCACTAGGTATGCCCTCAAAGAGTCTCAATTTGGGTCAAAATCCTAACTAAAATTCCTGCTATTTATGACACCAACACACATCCCCCACTTTTCCCAAGTACTTGATAGCATTTATCACTCTGACTCTCTATGAGAAAACCCATTAAACCTAACTAAGTCGTAACGCCTTGTAAGAAGCTGCTTGGGATTCCGTCGTCGTAAGTATTTGTAAAATAACTTTTTTCGCCATGAGTGACGGTATGGTTGTGTTTTCTCATGAGTGGTCTTAAGGTTGTGGTTTCTCATGAGTGATCATAATGTTGTGGTTACTCATGAGTGGTTATAAGCTTGTAGTTTCTCATGAGTGATCATAAGGGTGTGGCTTCACATGAGTGGTCATAATGTTGTGGTTTCATGAGTGGTCATAATGTTGTGGTTTCTCATGAGTGGTCATAATGTTGTGGTTTCTCATGAGTGGTCATAATGTTGATGTCAAGTCATGGATGACACTCAGCAAGTTGAAGCTTAATGATGACAAAACGGAAGCACTCCTCATCCACAATCACACATCTACCTCAACTCTTCCTACCTCATTTCAAGTAGGTAACTCTGACATACGGTTTACACCCTCTCCTAGGAATCTTGGTTATAGTTATATTCTGTCTAACAACATGTCTCTCGATAAACACATATCTCACATTTGTCGTTCAGCATACACCACTATCCGTCAGATCAGCTCCATACGCCACTATCTCACAGTTAGCGCTACAAAAACTCTTAGTCTGTGCTCTTGTTCTCTCTCGTCTTGACTATTGCAACTCTCTTCTGTCAGGTTCACCAAAACACTGCATAGAAAAACTGCAGAAAGTTCAAAACTCAGCTGCTAAGACTAGTTTTAAAGGCAAAAAAACATGATCACGTCACTCCACTACTCCATTCCCTTCATTGGCTACCTATGCAGGCACGCATTGACTATAAGTTGTCTGTTCTCTGTCACAACTTTTTCTTGGATTCCTGCCCTTCCTATCTAACCGAACTTCTTTCTGTCTATTCACCCCTTCACCAGCTTCGCTCCTCTGCAGACACGCGTATTCTGTCCGTTCCTGAGACACACACTAAAACATATGGTGAACGATCTTTCTCTTTCTGCGCCCCCAAACAATGGAATTCTTTGCCACTACACATACGCAATATAGCAACCACCCAGGCCTTCAAAACTGCACTCAAAACATATCTTTTAAAATTATACTACCCTGACTGATTCCCCTCCACTGACCGATTAACGATCTTGCTGGCTGCCGTCCATGGTTTGCCTTGTAAAAGTTATGGGGTGGGGTGGGTGAATTTACATTGCTGTTCTTTATTTCATAAATGTATTTTATTTTAATGTCATGATTATGTCTCTTTTGATAAAATTTTTATGTACAGCGCGGTGAGCCTAGGGCTGGGGTACCGCGCAAGATAAGACCTCTTTTATTATTATTATTCTCATGAGTGGTCGTAATGTTGTGGTTTCTAATGAGTGGTCATAATGTTGTGGTTTCTCATGAGTGGCCATAATGTTGTGGTTTCTAATGAGTGGTTAAGTTTATTCAATTGTTCTCTATGAAAGAGGGTTTATCAAGTGTTAAAGCAGTGGTTCTCAACCTTCCTAATGCCGCGACCATTTAATACAGTTCCTCATGTCGTGGTGACCCCCAACCACAAAATAATTTTTGTTTCTACTTCATAACTGTAGAGTAAGCGTTTTTTCTTATGGTCTTAGGCAACACTGTGAAAAGGTCGTTCGACCACCAAAGGGGTCGCCACCCACAGATTGAGAACCGCTGTGTTAAAAGTAAAGTTAAATTGACCGTTATTCAAAGTTTTTCAAGCTATGATAGGGGCCTCTAGCCTACAAAATGGACCCTAACTTCAAACCTTGGGGGAAAATACTGAGACTCAGTACAGCTAAGTAGACCAGCAGGGTTCATGTAAGTAGGGTTCATAATTAGATTAGCTGGGTTCATGTAAGTAGATCAGCTTGGTTTATGAAAGTAGATCAGCTGGGTTCATGTAAGTAGATCAGCTGGGTTCATGTAAGTAGTGCCAATAGGACTCCTGTGTTCCCTACCAATTTTTCACAGTATTTGTAATTTCCTTTGGAGCCCTTACTTTTGAAGCAGCAAAATGATGACAAAAGCATTCAAAGATGTCTTAATAATAGACAATGGAATTCAAAGATTAGACTGCTATTCATTAATTATTAACTTTGTTCATTTAATATGTTTCACCAAACTATTTTTGGTATCGCTTGAACTGTAAAACTGAATGGTGCAAGTGTCATTTCTAAGCTATATTTTATTAGAATAATAAGACTAAACTATAATAGAATTCCTCTTTAGCCCAATAATGAAAGGTTACAACACTGGCTACAGAAATTTAAAATTGAACACAAAACTCAAAACTTTTCCTTCATTTTCTGTATTCTCATTATGAGTTATTGTAATGTATATAAATACAAATTTGTCATGATGAATGAGTGACAAATTGCTTAAACTCATTCAAAATTGGGACTCCAAAATTGTCATAAAATTTTAATATCATCACGACTCCACAGCCCTATACTAAAAATAATTACAATCATAAAATTTCTACTAAGTAAAATAAAGTTTAAGGTAAAACCAATGTGAAGCAGTACATAAATTTTAAATTACATCAAATACATTTTCTACCCAGCACATTAAAGACTTAACATACTGAGGGCATTGATTCATCATTAATACTATTAATAGATACAACTATACTCCTCATCAACACCAACATCAAAAAGAACTCCAACATAAAGCAAGAACTTCTTAAAATAAAAGGGATCAAACAGTAAAAACATATGATTTTTAAGTCATTTCAAACGGGACTAGCAAATTTAATTCTCATATATGAAAATAAGATTGATACAAGTTTCCTTAAATATTGTTCGATCACATTTTCTGTACGCTTAAAAATAATGCCATTTGTTTACCGGTATCAACTATTTACATGCTTTAAAACTTCAATTCTGGACTGTTGCTTTAAAAAATTACACTTTTGAAAAATAAAAATCCAAGCAAAGGGTAAAACCCTGTGCAAGAATGTAAAAATTTTACAAGGGTTGTGTGTTGGGCACTATGGGGGACAATGGAATGACCAAAATTGTCTGAATATCAGGAACAAAAACAGGCTCAAAATGTTTATTTCACTTTCCAGAATTGATCTAGTCCGCTTAGACCATCCTGTAGGTGCTGGCTATTCCAGACTTTTCTAAAAATAGCAGTTGTTTTGTAGCTCAAGTCTTTTTGGTATAGGTAAAAAAAACAGTGACTTGCCTAGAAGGCTGATTTATGAGGACATCATTAAATTCACAGAACACTCTATAAATAAGAATAAAAATTTGGTAAAATATCAAATAATGTAGACACATCATTCCCAGGCTCACCACCTCTCACTTATGCCTTTTTATACTGTAGTATGTACTGGTAACAGTTAATGTTAATGTTGAATATCGGATCAAAATGCAATAAATCTAATTTCTTCTTCAAGCTAGTCAACATGACTTCATATAGTATACAGTACAGTAATCTCATTAAATTATGACTAAATGTCTTTTGCATGTGTCTCAATCAATAAGTTCTAAAACTCTTCAAATTTATTAAGCTGGAAGACAATTAAAATTTGTCAATGGACATTTCAACCATCAGCAGAATCTTATGATAAAAGTACCGGTATTCACTTCTCCTTGCTAGCTGTCCATTTCAAAATATGATGGTCCTAATGAATCAAAGCCAATAAATATATTTCCTATGTTGTCCACTCTTACTGGGAATGTTTTTGCTGTGATATTTTGGCCAGTTGGTGAGAGGATGGCTCCAGTATCAACTTTGAATTTCCACTTATGCCAGGGGCATTTAAGGCACACTTCACCTGGGCTAAAATCTTCAATGTCACCCATATGCAAAGGGCCACCTAGAGGGGGGAAAAGAACCAAAAAATTTTCATGACATTGTTAGTGTATTTTCAAAATGCTTTTTAAATTCATCTTATGAAGAATACATATTTTTTTAAAAATACTTCCAACTTAACAATCGTAAAAATTTTCAGATTTGGTTTAACAAGCTAATACTTTTGTTCAAGATTAGATCACTGCAGCAGAGGTGGAAAAAAAAATCCAGGTGCCCAAAAAAAAATAAATGTTACTGATTTCAAAGCGGCGTACAATCACAAGGGTTAAATTGAAATTAAAGCCAAAAAAATAGTCCATTAAAATTTTGTTAAGTGTATGACTTAGTATGAGTGGACTCAGAAGTTGTATGAGTTATAGAAGTATAGAATTATCCAATAGAGAAAGGTATAATTACTACAATAGTATTAATAGTCAGGCCATTTTCGTGTCAGAGGGGGTATAGATTTATCCAATAAAGAAAGGTATAATAGTCAGGACATTTCCGTGTCAGAGTAGTATAAAATTATCCAATAGAGAAGGATATAATATTCAGGACATTTTCTGTCAGAGGGGTGGTTGATGATATCTTCAATTTATAAACAGCCGCCATGCATTGGCTTTTGCTGACTTCAATACTGAGGACTCATCTTTTTAATTCTAGGCATGTGGGGGGGATTCGGCCAGGGCCGTGCAGAGGCAACCAAGTAAATCACTTGGGGCTCTACCTGTTTTGGTGTTCCAAAGGACAATTTTTAAAAATACAGTTACTTTTGATACAATTATTTGAATGTTTTCGCACTCAATTTTTGGATTTGCTCGTGGCCCAATAGTTCTCTGCATGCCTCTGGATGTAGGTAATGTTTTGAAATTGAGAGCGGGTGTGGGAATGTTTTGGAATCAAGAGAGGATATCAGTATGAGAAATATTTTGAAATAGAGAGGGGTGCAGTGCAGCAAAAAGGTTAAGAACCTCTGGCATATACAAATATATATGTATTTATTGTGGGATGTCAAATTTCCTGAAAGTCACACCTGTAACTGCATGATGTTTCATGTGGAAACTTATAAAGTTTAAAAAATTCCCTTACTTCAAGAAAATATTTACCTGCATGGGGGCATAACGCCTGTATGGCATAGACTTTATTTCCTAGCCTGAACAAAGCAATAGACTCATCATTGAGCGTGATAGCATTGCCAAAACACTTTTTGTGAAGATCAGCACTATTTAAAAAAACAGAATCTTGCTGAGCTTTTCCTTGGGCTTTAAGATGTTTTTGTATTTGAAGGCGATGGTTTCTTTCTTCTTTATTTTCCCAGTCTAAAAGATCTGCAGTTATATACAAATTAATTCACAATCAATCCATATTTGATTAATTGAAATTTATGTTTATAGAAAAAAACAAAAAACATTACCACTTCTTAACATCTTTTTAACATAAGTGGAAGATGGATATAAATATACAAAATTTGTTAAGACTTTATTGACTAATACTGAATGCAAAAGTCTTTGAACTTGTAAAAATAGTAGGAAAAGTGTTCAGGAGTGTTTGAAAAGTTATACTGCCTTGTTGTGAGTTATTGGGAAATGTCAAATGCTAACTAAAGGAAAACAAAAAGCCCTGGTAATAGCCTCGTTTGAAAAACTCCAGCTAGCTTAAGTTTTAGAAACAGTCCCACTGTCAAAGGTATATACAATATTTTGATATAAAATCCATTCTTAAGTCTGGTATAATTTATCATTTTGGTGAAATTTATGGAATTTATGCAAAACACTGCATCATTTAGCAACTCCACATGCAATCAAAATTAAGTAAAAACTGCTAATTGTATTTTAACCGTAATTTTACATGTAATGTGACAAATAATAAAAAAATTGTATAAATGATATGGCTTTACATATATTTTAGGCTAAAGTAGGACTCAATTATGTCAAGGCTGCAGGTTTAAGAGAAGTAGATTTTTGTGGATTGATTAAATTAATGTTAAAAAATATTAAGACCAAGACTCTTAATAGAACGAGTAAAAATGCCATGAAATTTAGTTGATGACAACTGTGTCATTCTTTACTTTAGTTCATATTTTATAATCGTATGTACAAATTGAAAATATGCAAGTCAATCTCAATCACCAGGAATCAAGAACAAGGTTTGAAATATTTATAATAACTCAGTCCACAGCCCTGATATTAATTTATAGTCAAGGAAAGGATTACTTTTAATAATGATCATAACACCAACCTTTGAATTTTAGGTCATTAACAGGAAGAAATAACCTTTTATTGTCATCAACATCAGTAGTATCACCCATTTTCAGTTCTAATTGAGGTCTGGGATCTAGCCACTCTAGACTCTAGGTCTAGACAGTTCGCTTGGTGTCGTGTGATTATCCTTGCAAACTTCTAATATTCATATCAATCAAACTACAACTACAATAATTTCAACTTGATTTAGGGGTAACTTTACTTTAAATAAGTTTTAGCACTGACTAGAGTGACTAGAGGTAGAGGCCTTATTTTTTTAGGCTAAAGTACCTAGTGCCTAAGCCTAAAAATGAAATTGCTTAAGTTAAAGCCTACTAACTTTTAACTTTCATTCACACACCACAAAACTTACAAATACATCATGACTTGTAGTAAGTCATGATTATGATTAGTCATTAGTAGTGACATCAGAGTTCATTTGACTAGAATTAGAATAATTAGATTATAATTAATTAACAGATTAGAATTACTTGAATTATAAAATTAGGCATTTTAAATTTTGTCTTTTTTTTTATTTTACAGTAATTTATTAATTTAAAATTAACACAGACTCAGACACAAGCCTACAATTACAATGAATATGAATCAATGAATGATGATGACTGACTACAGTATTACACCCTATGCTACTTCAGCTCATAACTCAGTTAATTTAATAGTTCCTACTCAAATGTGTGAGTAACTATTTACTCTCTACTCAGATCTACTGCCAGGGCTACTCACTTTGTCACCTTTTGTGACTACTGAAAATGGAAAAACAAACTCAGGCCCCCTTACTTTAAATAAAAAATAAAATGACGTTTCTGGTTTCTTAAATTGTATTAATTTTTTTAGTTTAAAATTAATAAAGTCACTTTAATAAAGTTAAGTACTAATTTCAGAGAGAAATTTGCAAACCTAAAATATAAATCATTTTAAAGGAAAAATCTTTCTAAATTCTACTTTATATATATATATTTAATAAGACCGACACATGGGTGATTTACTAGCGTAGCAACTTCAAACTCATGCTTAAATGCATATTTAATTTAGGCCTTCGTTAAAATGAAGCATGTCAGTGTCAGGTATTTGTTGTCACTTTTTTAAAATTAGAGTTAGAGAAGGTTCATCATGTCTGAAGATCCGTGTACTTGTTTCTAATGAGAAGTATAGTTTTTAATTTCATCCGTGCCAATTTATATCTTCCAATTATTTTTACCACATTTGAAGTGAAATGAACTAACACTTTAATTGCTAAGGTTATTTAAAAATTATGTTAAAAATCTTGACAACTGATGAACTGAGACACAATAATTGCACTTAATTACAGATACAATTGTTTCAAATTAATTACAAGTACCGTCTACACTCTACACTACACGAAACGAAATTTCACTCTCTTACTAATCTTAGGCTTATTAATTAAAACATCTATAAAATCTAGTCATGGTTATAAAGCATTACCGTAAGAGATAATCTGTTAATATCTACGTCAGTAGCATCACTATTAAACTGAGTAGAGATTAACATTTTATGTTTAAATCACAAGAATGTCCTGTAATTAGTTGCAATAGTATAATGGCTACGGGTGTAGTTGCGTCGTGACAGAGATATCAACTGTACGGGGGAAGTAACCGAGATGACTCTCGTTATTTCCTTAACCCAAAATTTGTATGAACCCATGGTTAGAGAATTTGTCTTGTTTTCAAAATCTTAATTTAATCAATAGACACGTAAACAAATAAGCTCACGAAAACAGAGTAGTTCTCTGTACCATTGCCAAATGGTTCCCTAATTTATAGAGTTTATAAACTATAATAAAAGTTATGAGTACTTAAATTATATTCTGATAGGCGATAGTAGGCGCCATCATAGTATAGGCATGGCATAGGCAGGGTACGTCACGTTGCTACATCCATGATATTATGTACTGGCATATGCAATTATGTGCAACGGCTTGGGAAACGGTGCGGCTATCCTAACGGCTTCTAGTGGGTGCCAGGGCAGCCTTGAAACTCTCGATTGATGTTGAATCCACGGTGACATTGTCCAGTTGGCTCCAATTCCAAGCAATTATTGTTCCTGGGGAGAATGATTGTTTATAATGGGACTGTGTTACACCAAGGCACAGTGAAGCATTTACTATTGTTCCGGGTGTAACTGCTCATGGAGTTGTCAGAGGTGAACTCAGTGTTTATTGAGCGTTTGGCTCTGATTAAGCATCCTGGCTTCTGTGGGGTGAGATGCTTGTTAGCTGGAATGGCCGGCACTAGCCCCATGACCACTTTATATAGGAATGTTAAACTGAGCTTTTCTCATCTGTCTTTGAGGGAGGGGATGTCAAATCTTTTTAAGAGGTCAGTGACGAAGCCAGGAGTGGTGGATTTGTAGTCACTTGCGATGAAGCGCACTGCGTTACGTTATATTCGCTCCATCTTGTCAACGTCTTGCTTTAAGTATGGGTCCCAGATGATCACACCATATTCTAGTAGCAGACGGACGAGTGCGAGATAGGCATTGTGTTTGCATGATGTTGGGCAGTGGCGCAGATTTCAAATGAAACCAAGTGTAGAGTTGGCTTTTTTTTAAATTTTATATAAATGGGGTGACTATTTTAGATTATTCTGTACTGATAACTTATTTAGAACTATAAGGCTATAAATAATATAATTATACTATATTAAACTATTATTATTATATAATATTAATATCATATAAATTTATAAATAGGCAGACTAAATAATAATTTAATTTAATACATTACTGTCATTACAAATAAAATAAGTTTGAATAAGTCCTGAGCAAGGACTGGACTGATATAAGAAGCATTAATAATAATATAATGAAATAATGTGAATAACTTTCCAAAAATTTTTAAAAATATAAAAAATTCTATTGGATGTCATGTGCAGCCCGCGGCTTTCAGCAAATTTTTTTTTGGCCCACAGAGTCAAAAAAGTTGGACAGCATAGTACTATACCATCACTGATAGTATCCTTTGGCCTTTTATTGTGTTATAGAGAGCTTGTTTACATAATATTTCTCGTGCGTGCCCTCTGATTGACCCCGCATGAGACGCTGTGTTCACAAAGGGGTGTGGCTTAGGTCTTTGATGTATTTCTTGTTTACGCCGCCAACGAATAAAAATAATTAATCTGTTCCAAATAGTATTTTGTAGAATGATTTTGATTTTTCTAGAAATTTCTCGAAGGCAGGGCTTGGGCGTCGGTAGACCCACCTATATAAGGGATTGACAGGCACGGACGAGGACGGAGATTTTCTTATAGATTCTCTTAACATTTTTCTAATTGTATTAACTGTGTACCGGTACGACATCTGCCATACTGTAAGTTGAAGATTGTAATTTTATTTTATTTTATTTTGTAATTATCTTAAGACATAATAAATCTTAATTAATTGTAACTAGAAACTGTTTTGGGTCGTATCCTTAATATTGTTGATTACATGGTATCGTCCTTTGTTAGGCACTGTTTACAACGAGCCAATTAAAATTAAAATAGGAGATTAATTTCTCCCAATACAAGTCAGTGCGTAACAATTGATGGCCTTAGCTTTAGGCTATGTGAACTATGTGAAGAAGTGAGATATCTCAAGGCTAAGCCTATGACATGACTATGTTAATTTTTTAATGTAGGCCTAGGCCTAAGCCAGTGGCATGGCATCATGCTGCATGAACATGATCATCATGATGGAAAAAACTTGTTAGCATGTTCTATTACTACATTTCAAGGGTTTCCATCCCCTGGCCAGGTGTAAATATTTAGTAAATATAGCCTAATATTAATATACTTAAACTTAGGCATATGTATAATATCTATAATTATGATTTGGCATTATAAATTATTGAAATTTATATAAAGTCTTTATTTATGCTATTTATCAAGATTTTATAATTCATAATTCAATGCTTAATTATGTAATTCTCTTTTTTTTTTCCCAGATCCTTTTTTGTACATGCAATAGTTATGGCTGTAGAAAGGATCACATTAGCAGAAGTCTCAGATCAGACTGAGGACGGTCAAAAATTATATTTACAAACAGTGTTAAAAAATGAAGGACAAGAAGGTTTTGAACTCTTGTTACTGGATGGGAACAATGTCTGGGAAGGCCAAGGTATGCATGTAACTGTAACTCAGTAATTAATGCTTTGTTTCTCTTTAAAAGTATTTGAATCATCTGTCAAAAATTTTAGGCTGAAAATTAAAAATCATTAGATCTATAAATCGAGGAGGTGTTGTGCTTAATATTTGCTTTGAAAAAAGTTATTTTGCATATATCACTCAAAATTTTAAATTTAGCAGGGGAAATACAATATTTGTAGATCTCATCTCCAGAGTTAAAAAAGGAAAAAAATTGTTTGCTTAGACAGTACAAAACAATAAACTTAATTATAGAAATTTTCAAGACTAAGCAAGTTTTGCACTATTAAGTAGTGAGCACATAAATATATTTTAAAACAAAGCGCTCCTACAGTTATCATTAACCCTATTTCACCAGCAGCTGTGATAAACTTTTCAGCTCATTTGATATCAGTCATTGTTTTGTTAAATAATTTCCTATGGGCAGTAACCGAGGATGATTTGGATGGCCTGTCAGAAAAATCCAAGTTGGACTACAATACATATGTTAGTGAAACCAAAGCAGCTTTTACAAGAGATAAAACAACTAATTCCAATTTTGAATGTCATTGGAAAAAGAACTCGGAAGATACTTCAATATTGATTTGGAAGAAAGTTTCAGCTCGGGATGTAAAAGTAATGCAACTTTTAAGTTTTTTTGTTCTTTTTCAAATACATAATATTTTGGCATTAATTTTTAAAGTTGCCCATTTTTACCTTCTCTCATACTCAATTTTAAAATTTTTGTTCTCTTTATTATTTTACAAATACTAGACTAATTTCTTATTACTGTTAGAAGTTTTTATGAGCTGTAAAGAACTACACAGATTAAATAAAAACAATGAAAACAAATGAAACAGAGCTCAAAAGCATTTCATGATGGAATTACATTTTGAAAAAAATTAATTACTTTTAATAGCCCCAGACTTCAGAAATATTAATTGATTTTTTTTTCAATAAATGACTTTGTTTTACTGGCAGAAATAAATCTGCTGCAAATACTTGTAGTCATTTAAGCAGGGCCATAATTTTCCAGAGGGGGACAGTTGCCTATTTTCACCCAACCTAAAAATGTCCAGCGCCGGCCATACGTTTAAGATAATTTTGTGTATGTGTATGTTTTACAATGGTATGTTTTTCTTAAAAGAACTAAATAAATATATTCTGTTTTCATTTCAGTACAATTTAGGATCCGTTACTTTAAAAAAATGTAAAAATTCATCTGAGAATCTTAGTAAGGTTCTAAGCCATTGCATTAGTCAGACTGGATTACTTCAAGAAGAAATCCATAAATTACAGGCAGCAAATAAAAGATTATCACTTGAGAGATCAACAGCTCTACAGGTGGGTAACTACTTTTTACCCACACTGGCCTATGTTGAAAACTAGTTTAAACTACCGGTACTTAGAACATCAACGAAAAGCCATCCTAAAGGTTTAATCTTATTTATTATTCTTTTTCATAACTTATAATAATAAATTCAGCCAGTTCTACTATTGTAAGTTGTTGTCATTGCTTAGAGGACAAAAATCTTAGTTCATTTGTAAATCAACTCAAAAATAATTTTTTCATTTACAGAAATTAGAAAAATCTGTAGTTGCTAAAGAGGATGTGGAGCATAATTTATTTTCAAAGGTTCGTATTTTTGGCATGTCCCTGCAACATTTAATAGAAATTCATTTAAGTCAAAGGATTTCAAAATATATATGAAAGCTTTAACTTTAATGTGTAGTGAGTCTGATGAATTTTTTTCCTATGACATTGCATATTGTCATGTTAACAGTATGCGGTTGGTGCTGACATTCAATAACATTGGTTAAGTCCAGTTTTGAAGAAAAAAAATGCTCTTGATCTCATTTACACAAGCTACCAAATTGCTGTGAACATTTAATGAATTTTTTATATTTAGTCTATGAATATTTACTCTATTAATACTAGGATAATGTTGAGTGAGGTCAAATCAACTACAACTTAATGTCATGTATCGTCTTACTTTTTTTGTACAAAGTTCGTCACAGTCCTAAACAGCAAAAAGGAAAAAATCAGACAGTTGGAAAATCTAGAGGGTGAACCCCCAGCAGGTTTGTAAATAAAAGGATCATTAAATAAATTTTGGATTAAAACTGTTCAAAATAAATTACAGCTGATTAATTTTTCTTGTTCACTGCCCAAGTTAGCCAAAAAACGTTGGTTACAGTACATACTCGTTCTAAAGCCAGCTTTAAACAAAAAAATATATTTCAGTGGGGTGGTCAGCTAAGAATTGGTAAATAGAAGATGTTTTATAATTTTTTTCCTAGGTGGATTGATTTAATTTTAGAAAACAATAATGAAAAAATTAATTAACTGAATTCATTGTAGATAAGTTTCAAAAACTGGGTCATAAGTTTTGTCCTCATTGTGCAACTGAAGTGATTTGCTGATCTTAGAGTGTATCAAAGTACCTATCCTGAAAAATGAAATGCCAGATAGTCTTATTTTATAAGGTCATGGCAACAGTTTAAAATCTTTTTTCGGGACAATCAGGGGAACTGTCATTTTGATACAGTTAGATACCAGATTTCACCCGATAGAGAAAAAACAATATTCCATAACTGAATATGCCTACTATTTTCTGTCAACTAAATACGTCACATTGGGAAATGGAGTCAGTGGGCCATCATGCTCGAGCTCTTAATGCCCCCTTTCCCCCCGCACACCTCCACACAGGCCAGACGCGGGGTTTCCCTGCCGACAGACCGTGCGGCGGCATGCCTGGAACCTCCCCCCTGGCCTGGGATACAAGGCGGTATTGCTTCAACTCCGAGGAAATGGTGTGGCGTTACCATCCCCCCACTGCCCAAAGAGTCTTTCGATCGGGATGAAAAGCTGGGACGAAACGGTTGCCTAGGAGCAGCTTTCTCACGGCTGCATAGCTAAAATCATTGGCATGGGTTTTTACCTGTCAACTAAATATCTATAAAAGCTAAGATTGTCTATGTCCTTTTGCTGTCAAAACGACTGCCTTTTTGTATTGTCCTTCTTCAGGCTTGCCTCTACTCTGTGTATATTTCTTATTGCATCAACCTGAACCCAGTCCTCCAAGTATTATTCATATATTTAATATCAGTTACCAGACTGCGATCTGCACTTTCGCAAACTTTGTTAATTGATATTTATAATTTATACAGAATACACGTATGGAAAGAGAAGGCTCCCCAATATTTATTTATACACCGATCTATTTTTGTAAATATATACTGCATGATTATTAGTTTTCAAGTCTCATACTTACACAATAACTATTTTATATCGGCCATTGCTTACACTAGCATATTATTTTATGGGGTCTGCTTATGAGTGGGTTATACATTTTTCAGGCTTTTCCTGGCCAAAACGAGGGAGTTTGGCTTATGAATGAACAGACTTTAGAATGAGCACGTACTAATGTATGGTAATGAATAATAGAAAAATTTAGATTGAACAATATCCAGAACCAAGGAGTTCTCTCTCTTTAACAAAACTTTACAAAAGTGCCGATGAAGTAGGAGGAATTTCAGCACCTTTTACTTAAGATTAAATTAATACAGGTTTATATAATAAAATCTTTAATTGGTGCTTTCTAAAATTTTCATTATGAAACTAAAAATTGTTAAATTTGAACTTTTTTTTTCTTCAGAATTTGTAAAAAAAAATTAAGTTTGTATATTTTCTTGATTGCCGTATCTAAATGCAAAAAAAAGCCTGTTAAGTATTATTCCTTTTAAAGAATTTGATAAAGTTAATTGCATTAAGAGTGAGCATTTTTTTAATTTAAAAAAAAATCTGTTAAATTGAATAATCAAAGTTCTAATTAATTGATACATAAGTTTACCTAATTGCAACAACAAATACTTTATCTGTAGAGGATCCCAGTTTGTCAAGCACATCAAAAGATAAGCGCACTAACTCAAAGAAGAAAAATGAAGAGGATCGGGATGATTGGAATAGAAGGTAATTTTTGAAACAGTTCTTCTGTCCGCTTTTACATGGGAGGCGTCACAGGGAGGTATAGTTGATGGGCTGCCCCAAGGTGTGAGGCCTGCTGGAGGTTCATGTTGTGGATTTTTATGGTGTCCTTTAACAGTCATTCCAACGATGGTGTGGTCTTCCTGTGGCCTTGAAACCAGAGTGCCTGCTATTGTGCGCTTGTAATGCAGGTTCGTTGACAGGCAATCTGACCAGGTAGCAAAACAAATTAAATTGTACTAAGGCCATATACTGGCTAATTAGGATAGCAGCAACCATTTTTCTTATTTCTGTGTTCTGATTGTTTAATCTGTAAATATATGGAAAATGGTTAAATTAATTTAAAAAAATTAATGTGTAATGCAAAACTTAGAGTGAATGCTGGTGTTGGAGTATCTTCAATATATGAGCTGCTTCTTTTTAAAAGACCCATTTGATTTTTTTATTTGTCAGTTTTCATATTTATATATTTTTTTAAAAATATCTTTTTCAGCACATCTGAAGATTCATTGCCTGACAGTGAGGTAAGAATACGGAAGCTTAAGTCAAGACCAATACATGGCAAATATTTGGCCTGATAAATCTCCAATAGGAACTCAACATTTTGATTTAGATCACTGCCATTTCAAACATTAATTAGTTCCATATTAGCAAAACGGGGAACATGAACAACTTCAATCAGGTCGTTTCCACTTAAGAGTTGTCAAACTTATTCAGCTCAATTCTTATTAGATTTTTCTACGTTAGTCAGCTTGGTTCCAATAAGAGTTGTCTAACTTAGTCAGCGCGGTTCCAAAAGAGTTGTCTAACTTAGTTAGCCCAGTTCCTGTAAGAGTTAGCTAAGTAACCTCTGTTTCCATAAGAGTTGTCTAACATCTCAGCTCCTGTAACACTTGTCTAACTTAGCTCTGTTCCCATGGGTTGTCTAACCTAGTCAGTTCGGTTCTTATTTGAGTTGCCCAACTTGTGGTCACTTGGATGCGACACATTTGTCTTGACTATATTCAGTTTTTTAATGATATTTACAGCTATGACCTTTAGTACACAGCATGAATGGAGTGCAAGAGGAATTCCTGTGCCATGTGGCACTACTCTCTAGTTTAGCAGGCGGGAAATGCTTCATCAGGCTGGAGGTGTGCTGACCCATATGATCAACAGAAAGCCATAGAGACGTCTTCTAATGTAAAAACCAACTGCTAATAATACAAGTGTGTTGCTGCAAAAAGCCCCATGGCGTAATCCTATAGGGGCTCGAGGGTCTTTTGAAACTCAATTAACTGCTCTCAATGGATGGCTAGTCATAGCCTGACAATCAATATTTTTATTTTTTTAATACCTGTAAATTAAAGCAGCATGTATTCCACAGGAGAGTCCCGTCAAAAAAAAGAGGACAAGGTCCAAAGTGGTTGAGCTGGAGTCATCTCTGAACTTGGAGGAAGAGGGAGAGAAGCAACCGGAGCCACCAGTTGCAAGAAGGTAAAACCAGTGCCAGACTGATATAATCATTACATAGTCTGTAGAAGGTGAACCAGTGCTAGACTGATCTAATCATTACATAGTCTATAGAAGGTGAACCAGTGCCAGACTGTTCTAATCATTACATAGTCTACAGAAGGTGAACCAGTGCTAGACTGATCTAATCATTACATTATTTACATAGTCATTAGCATGCAAACCTTTATTTGATGCATCTATTCATTTCATAGTTATAGGATGTAAACCAGGGCTAGACTAATCTATTATTGCACTGTCAATAGACTGCAAACCTTTCTCAGACTGAGCTACCGGTACTCATTTCACTGTCAATATTATACAAACCTTATCTACTCAGCTCACTTAAAGTATGTCAAAGTCATACACAAGACTTCTCCACTGCCGACTAGAACATACCATTCCTCTTTTTCTGGTGTCTTCACATAGATTATTGTCATTGTGTTTAAATAATTACCGGTATCCAAAAAGAATGATTTAATTTCTTTAGGCCACGAAGAAAAACAGCAATTAAAAAGACGACCTCCTCCAAACCAGTTTTGCCCAGAGTTTCATCAGGAGATTCTGCTGAAAGGTTTGTGTCATAACATACACATTTATTTAATTAAAAGGTTGTAGATAATGTGTATTTTTTTAGTATACATAATACTATGACTCGTGACTAATTTTGTTGTTGGCTGATAGATTTTTTTGTGTTCATACTTGATAGGATAATCTTCAATCATAGAGCTTTGATCTTGTAGAAGAGTGGCTCACAATATTTTTTTCTCCTGTACTACTTGAATAGACTTTTTATTTATGAGTTAACACACACACCCCCCCCCCCCCCCTTTTTTTTTTTCCTTTTTTTTTTTTCCTTTTTGAAATATAGCGTCTTGTAAATGAATGGGTTTAGAAAAAAAAGAACACTGTTTTGCCATTTCTCGCCATTATCAATATAATTTTTGCTTACCTACAAGCGGCCTGCCACATGTCCACAGGCTGGGAACCGCTGCTGTAGAGAATCATTTCCTTTATCTTCTTAGTTTTAATTTATTTTGTAGTTTGATTTTTGAAAGGTATTTAAATACAATAATTAGTCTTTATTGTTCTCAGCATTTGCCTTCAAGAAGCCTGATCATAAGGTAAATTACTGAAGCAAATCACATATTTTTTTTTATATTCCGCAGACCAAACAGTGCCAGAAGCGGTTTAAGGAAAAGTAACTCTGCCAACTCCAACAAATCGTCTGATAATCTTGATACTGACGACTTGTTGATAAATTTCTAAAATAATGGAAAAGGTATACAGCGCGCCATCAACTTTCAGCATACAGTTGGGAAACGTTTCAAATAAGTTGAAATGAATGTGAGCACAGGGGTTGCCAGATAATGATGTTCAGGTGAAGACTTTTCAGTAATTATTAGACCCCCAGTTGTTCGTGTGAAATCTTCACTTTCTCATGGTGGTAGAACCTTAGTCAGACCCAACTTTCGCAGTTAAGAAACAGGTACGGTAATACGTTTTTTAAAATCATTCTTTTGTGTGTGTGTTGAGAATAATTGACGTAATTATAATAGTTTAAAAAAATGTTCAGTTGATGTTATTATTTTCGTGAAAATATGCTCAACAATTTATTATGGTTAAAAGGTATAGTATTGACATACAGTATGATAAAGTCTTAGGTAAAATGTTAAAGGGCTGAAATTTATCTTGATGTAATGAAATATGATCAATTTGGTCTGAGTGGGAGGAAGTGGTGAGGCAGGCCAAAGCCCTAGACATGCTGTAGCGCCACAGAGATAGATCAATCAGTTAGGTCTGAATAGAAAGGAAGTGGTGAGGCAGGCCAAGCCCTAGACAGGCTTTAGAGCCACAGAGATAGATCAATTAATTAGGTCTGAGTGGAATGGTGTGGTGAGGTAGGTCAAAGCCCTGCACAGGCTGTAGCACCACAGGGATGGATTGATAGTCAAACATGTACATTTTATTCACAGGTCCTGGTTGGCCTCTAAACATTCCATTAAATACTTGATCTGTTTTGTTTTTTAAATCAAGAAATGGTTCCTGCAGGTCACTAAATGAAGTTAACTGCCTGGGCAGTATAATTAACATGGGCATGAGGGGATATCTTCTAAACATTGCAAATAGATTTTTCAAAATATTTTATTTATTTATTCAAATGCAATTTTGTTACTGCACATGTTTTTTTTTCAATATTAAAGTTTAAATATTTGTTAATTTAAAATAACTTAAATAATGTCAAAGTATGATGCATGCGCAAATATTTTAAGAATGAGGCAATTGTATTTTTTAAACTATGTCTGATTACATAAAATTTAGTTATGTGCTGAAAATGTACAATGCAATCATAAAACATTTCCATTTGTTTGGATCAATAAAAGAATCTTATCTTAAAATCTTAAACATATATTTTTTTTAAACATTTTAATTTTTATTTTTTTTCTTGAAATTATCTTAGAGAAATCTGATTGAACTTAATTTTTGGCAATTTATTGTACTCTGCTATCTTTAACAGAGGGTCTCAACCTTGTTTTTTCCTCCCGTACTCCTCCTTTAGTATACTTTTCATTTATGAGTACCTTCCCCCCCCCCCCACTTATCTCTATAAAAGTATTAAACAACAGATAAGCTAAAAAAATCAAATTATGCAGATACAGCAAGTAACTTGTGTAGGCTTCTATTTTGTTTTTTTACAAGTTATTTCATCTTCATTGTTTACAAATAATGCAGCCATGAAAATGGATGAAAAAAAATCATGATGAACGTCATCGGACTTAAATACGACATATTTTTGTGGGTTAAATTTGTTTTTAATATATGGCTAAATATTGAAATGTAGCTCCTGGTAAATAAAGGGTGTGAAAAAAACTTGATCACAGTACTCCGTCATTATTAGCATCAATTTTGCTTACCCCCCAAATGCACTTAAGTACCCGTAGTGTTTTTTAGACTTAAAAAATTATAGGTAATATGGATTAAATCGGCTTTTGTTACGGGTAATCTGTGGTGTGATTATCATTTAATTCTGCCGATAAGACTATAAATGTGAATAGCTCACTTATGTTGTACTCGTGCCATTCATATCTAAATATAAATTGCTCACCTGTGTTATACTTGTACCTCTCAGTTGCTGTTATACCTTTCATATCTGAATATAAATGTGAATAGCTCACTTGTGTCATACCTTTCATATCTGAATATAAATGTAAATAAATCACTTGTGTTGTACCTTTCATATCTGAATATAAATGTGAGTAGCTCACTAGTGTCATATCTTTCAAATCTACTAGTTACAGAATCAGTCGGTTGTCCAGGTAAAAAATTATTTTAGTTCATTGCATCTGTAGATGCTAAATAAAATGAAATCCATACGTTCTCTATTACCAAAACTCAGACTGCCTGCCTGGTTAAGGTAATGAACTATCATGCCTGGTTACTTAAAGTAATGAACACAATTACTCACTTTACTATCATGCCTGGTTACTTAAAGTAATGAACACAATTACTCACTTTACTATCATGCCTGGTTACTTAAAGTAATGAACACAATTACTCACTTTACTATCATGCCTGGTTACTTAAAGTAATGAACACAATTACTCACTTTACTATCATGCCTGGTTACTTAAAGTAAAGATCACAATTACTCACTTTACTATCACACTGGTTACTTAAAGTAAAGATCACAATTATTCACTTTACTATCACACTGGTTACTTAAAGTAAAGATCAAAATTACTCACTTAACTATCACACTTTACCATCATTTCACCCACAAGGTTTTTCTGATTCCGCTGGCAATAATTGGAACTCACAGGACAGTTGTTACATGAGTTTATTCATTATATAACAAAACAAATTTCAATGTTTGTAAAGAGTATTCCAGTTTATGTCCCCCTTAATGAAAAGCCAGCCTACCAGGTTTTCTATATAATGTTTATAGTTGATATGAAATGAATTCCAAGTTGAAAAATTTTAAAAATATAAAAAATTAAAGGAATGTAACTGAATTCTTTTTGGAAGAAAATATGATGGGTTTTTTTTCAGAACTTAAAAACTAAATTTAGTATTGAAATGAAATGGAACAATTACTTGAAAGTCTAAGTGAACCAAAGGGTTATCTTGTATTATTTAGAACTGATGGTATCAACTCAAGTGCAAAATGAAATTAACATTTTCAGATCCATGGAATGTTCCTGTCCAGTAACACGGTGAAATATTAGGAAAGTGTTCTATACTATATTTCAGTTTAATAAACAAAGTAAAGGCAAACAAAATAACAATCTGGATGTTCTGTAATTATAAGAATACATGTTCATCTCCATGTTCTGTGTATAGTTATTATAAATATCTTTCTGAGCCTTCTGTAAGTATTAATTGGTAATATAGAAATCAACATGGGGACTAACTGATGGCAGAAAAAAAAAAAATATTTAAAAAATGGAGTTTTAAATTAAAATAATCTCCGAAAAGGGAAATAAATTTTCTTTTTTTCTTTTAATAAGCTGACTAATTTCGCCTTAATTAACCTGGACACAACTTTATGTAAATTTTAAATGCGACCACTTTCTGTCAGCTGTCATGTGACCACAGGAGAGGTTTTTTTTATTTCATCGAGATTAAAGTGTGAACTGGTTGCTGTACTTGTGAGTTGTGAGAACTTCAGATCTCCCGAGGACCACTGGACAGTGTTGTAAAGCCCTGGGTGTCCATCTGTGTGGTGTTCTGTTGATCTCACGACACGTCGTGCTGTTTTAGTCTGTGGATTTATTTGCGCACAGGTTACTTGATCACAATGTACAGAATATCAGAGCGAAATTATTTATTTTTTCAATCTTTAACTTAAAAATCAAATAAGGGGCCATCCATAAAAGACGTCCACCAATTTTTTTGCTATTTTTTACCCCCCCCCCCCCTTTC